GTAAGTTGCTTTACCGTTAAAATCTTCGGAACATAGTTTATCACTCATAACACCCAAGTCTCAGAAGAAACTCGATCGTCACAACCCAAATGCGATTATCCTAAGATCAAGAATATCTTAAGTGTAGTTTACGATACGACTATAAATTGGAGAACTGAGACACCCCTTTGCTGGATATAATTTACTAAAAATAATATGCCATCTCAAATTGGTAGTCATGAGGTGAGTACGCTCTTGGATTCATATCTCCGAAAAATTCAGATATCACTAATCTGAGAAAAAGAATAATAATGCCATTTTGGATTCAAACAGTGTGCACTGTTATTTCCCACTACATTTCTACAGTGCCGATTTGATGGGTAGAAATTTAATTCAGTTATAAGCTGATGGGGAAGTTAGTATAGGTATGTATCTGTTAATCCTATGATAGTGAAATAAGTTTCGTTCTCAAGAAAACTAACCAATAAAATCGTGGGATCACTTATCACGACTCGCAAAAAACAGTTGCGGATGGAAAAATTTATTTTTTTCCCACCCCTTCCAGTTAGCCAAATGTTTGCATAAGGGCGAGAGAAGTTGGCGTCTGCATGGGCGGATTGACTGGATCGTAGTAGCGCTTGTATCGGAGGGGAAAAATCTCTCTGTGAGCCTGTACACGCCATTACAAAGGGTGCACTCAATTCATGAGGTTGAGGTACCTCCTCTTCTTTTCTCAAAAGAGAAAAAATCCAATTTTGCCTCCAGTGTAGCGGTGGGAGAGGTTAGAATGGGTGAGGTTGGAGGGGGGGGATGCTAGTTTAATGTCCCAGAGAGCCTAAGTGGCTGCGACTAAATTTGTTTTTTTCGACTCACCTCATGCCGAGTCTTAAAGACACCAATGACAGTAAATGGCTTTATTGCCAAGTTGAGAGGTGTCTGCGTAACCGCTCAAATATGAACAGTCAGTACAAAATCCAAACAGGTCAAAACATCAGCTCAAATGAGCATTGGCTCTCAAGTTACGAAATTTAGATTGACGAAGGTGCAAGCGCAAGCACCACCGGTAAATGCCGGGCCAGACTGGAATTGAGTCATCGTAACAGTGATGGCCAGACCAATTAGGGCCTTACCAGCGTTGGTGTCTGCACGACGTCTGGGTGATTCAAATCCCCCCCCCTCGCCGGACGAGTGAGCATTCGACTAGGTACTGGCTATTTTGGGACCGGTTCTTCCGTAGAGGCTAAAACTGTTTAATAATTTCACAGATGATTTCTTAAAGGGTAATTTTTGCCCAAATGGCACCAAATCAACTCGATACGAGCACTACGGTGATAGAAGTGCAACAAATTGGGATTTTTGCCAGTAGAAAAAGTGACTTCATATCATATTTCTAAGGCGTCTTACGATCGAAAAGTCAACGAGGTGATCTGTTTAGGAAACAAGTTCAAGCCGATAATAAGGTGGATATTTTTCTTTGATGGCAGTTCATCTAGTAGTAGATAGATTTTACCATATAACACGATTAAAATGAACATCATCAAAAGAAACATTGTTCACCAATTAAAAAGTGTTTATTCCAACAGCAGAATCAGACAACAATATGCAGACTGCCGGTAGTCACCGACTGAAAGTGAAAGCAGCGTTATTTTGCAATTCAAATAAATTACTTTCGATGTCTCTTGACGGCCCTAATGAAAATGACTCTTCGTCATAGGGAGTTTTGTCAGTAGGAAGGACTTACTATTGCCAAATTCCCTTATAGTTACAACTGTTGAAGTAAATTTGATTTATAAACAAATCAAATGCATAATTTTAAAACGACATGTAATAATGACTGTTGAAAACGGTGCCACTTTACGAGCTAAATGGCTCGTTCTCAGTAAATTTTGATTATATGAGTAGAGAACCTTGCAAAATCCACACACTGCCATTGTTAAAGTGCAGAAATTGACTGAAGAAAAAAGCTTTAAGAGAAACTGAATGACCGCTGATCGAAACGGTACCTTCATTCGCCTTGGGCGTAGCAAAACGTCAATGGTTCAAAATTTCCCCTTAATAGCATGACATTTCGTTTGAAAAAGCCTACAAAACTGTGAAAACTATCTGAGGAAAAAAAACGGGTCACTGGACCTTGGAATTTTTCACCTGTAAATAAAGCGAGGCACATCGGCGCGACCTCAGGCTAAACCGCCCCTCCCCCCTCCCCCAAAAAAAGACAATGCATGGAAGAGAAGGGTCATTTTATGGTTCAGATAAAAATAATTCTACAGAAAACAATTTCACATAATTTCTCAACTTAAAAGTCTGTTGAAAAAGTCCCCCTTATGAGGAAAAGAACTAAGTACTGAAATATGAAGTCTTCAACACCTACTTTCCTCGGCTTTATGCCACCTAATGTGGAAAAAGAAACCTTCAAAACCGTGAAAAGATGTGGACACTTGAACCTAGGCGGTTTTAATGGTGGCCTACTAGAACAGACCAGAAAGGAGAGGTAGACATGGTCTTACTGTTGGGCGCATTGCTGACAGACTGCATGGTGCGGGACTGGCGGAGGGAGGACTTGAGGATACTGCCGCTGGTCTTTTGTACAGGAGGCGTGATCCTACTGTCCATGCTCTCCTCCGCGAAGGATACGGGCGAGGGATAGTCGGCGAAGGAGAGACGAGGTTGCTGCTGTGATTGTGGCTGTTGTCTGTTGTCGTGGTTCTGCCTCAGAGAGAGGGGAGAAATAGGACCCTTGCCTCCTGAAGCCGTCACTGCAGCCTGTCTGCTGCTCAGAGACTGGGAACAGCAGACGCAGTAGAACTCATCCTTCCACACTGTTACGCGATTCCCTGGGTTGAAGGGAGTTCTGAAAAGGATGACGAGGAAAAGTTAAAGTAAACCTACTAGCATCCCAAATCGGTTCAATTCTGTGAAGAACCAAAAAACCTACCAAACAACACATGTACAAAGGGTGTTTCAGTTTAGCAAAGTCATAGTGAGACAAGTGTAAAAACCTTCACCACTACATCACCTTTTGTGTGCGAAGATGCAGAGTTCAAAACGTTAGAATCGTTCGTCCCAAGACTGTAATGTGTATGCATGTTTAATGAATGAATAATTCAGTTCCCAATCGAAAGGAAGGGACGGACATCAAGATTACGGTCTGGAACCGCCAAGAGGAAATGACAGACCCAATCCAACCATAATCAGTACTTTCTGCGACAACCCACATCAATAGGGAACTTCAACTACTCCAAATTCTGACCATACAATTGTAAAATCATCAAACAAATGGAAGTGGAACAGGGGGACTGTAATGCAGGGAAGGCTAAGAATGGTGTTCTCATTTGCAAAAAATTCTTATAGCAGTGGATCTGCAAAACTGGTTTCCTCGTAAGGAAGTACGCCTGGGTGTGTCACGTTCAAAGTTATGGACTCCGTACTTTTTACTATAGATGGGAGAAAAATGAGCATGGATTTTCAAATGAATTGTTTTTAGACCACAGTAAAAAGTTCTCTGCATTCACATCCCACTGTTAGTGAATTTTGTTCAACTACACAGCAATTGTCAGATTAACGGAGACGTAATTTGTATGAACTTGACCTCCCAATGACCCCACAAGGAAAACATCTCAGCCTAGGTCACAGCAGCGTGCAACTGCTCATTAAAATGCGGATGTAAATACCGTAGTTGGTGATTCACTGAATCCTGTAAATACATGAGTCATGGTCTGCATAGATTCACCTGTGCAGAATCAAATGCATTTCGATGTGAGGTGGAGAGGATGAGGAGCAACGCTCTGCCTTAACGAACAACGCATTTCATGGTTCGTACTATTGAAAAGTGTAATAGAAAGGAGGCATTAAGTGAGCAGATCATTTCGCATCGCAGCGCATGTTTTGTTTCTAGAAGACTCAATATTTGAAGTAGGCCTTACCGACCACATGAGTTTAGTTAAGTAGGTCAATTGGGTAACTAGAATTAAAAAAGCGAATTCAGTTACTTACATCGTCAATTATATGATTTTACGGCTCAAAAGAAGCAATATTACCGTTTAAAATAGAAAGAACTAAAAGAAAGCCATACTAAGAGGCTTACTCATGGCAAAAAAGGTAAGTTTATTGAGAAAACCCCTACTGACAAACAAAATTAACGGTCACTTTCACATAGTCCATAGGGAAGAAAATATCAATTATACCTGCAGGAACAAGATAAAGACTTCAAAAAAGAAGGAATTGGCGTAAAAAGACCCACCAACATAAAATTTAAAAAGAACACTTGTACATGATACAGGATGGACTTATGATTTACTAATCCCGTGACTCAAAAAACCTCTAAGATAGACTTTCCAGTCACGCAAAACCCACAAATCTACCAGTATTAATGGTGTACAATAGGAAAAAAAGCTAAAAAACGGGCTTACCGACCGATAAGGATGAATGCTGACTTATCAATACGTTGAAAATAATACCAAGAAGGACAATTAGGTTCTACTATCAGATCGTTTATTAGTAAGATTCATTTGACCATTTGGGAACAAATATAAAAACTGGTACCGACATAATGCTGAGAGATTCCGGAGTGTACCAACTGTATTTTTTCGTGAAATACCAAAATAAAAGTCGTAATCTAATTGTGTGATTTACAGGAAAAACTGGATCCAATACACTTTTGCACACATTGACTAGGCATTTAACAAATGATATAGTTTGATGATATTTCACTGCACAAGTAGGCAAACTGTAGATGCTTCTCAGCACTTTGCGACAGCAAATAGTAATATATTCAATCCACTAAAATGATGCGTCGGAAGGAGTTGCCTTGGTTGCAATCTGTAAAAATTAAACTATGAATGAGTTGTCAAATGAATGTAACTACGGGGGAGTATCTTAAGCACATAAAAGCTAGAATGAACAAAGACGTGTAAATTGAACCAGAACATTCTTGACTAAGTGGGATAAACGCTAGATAAAATTGCAACTAAGGGTAAAAACGCAAAAACGCGAAATTGGGGTAAAAAATCGAAAAAACGCGGAGTCAAGCAGGGGTTGGTGGATTATGTAATTTCAATCTGTTGACTTACTTGCATTGGCTGCAGATGAAACATCCTTTGTGAAATGAATATGAAAGCGCAGACACAATATCACCGCTGAGGACTTCACTGCACACTTCACACTTTGGAGCTGACAACTTCTGATAATCTTTCTGACAAAAGTATTTGTCATTTTTCAGAAAGAAACCTCCAGCTTTGAGACTGCATTTGCATTCTGAACAAATAAGTGTGATAAAAGTGAAATTACCTGAACATTTGAAGCAATCCTTGTGAAAAAACTTATCATTGGCTTTCAAAACATTTCCTCTGCATCGCCTTTTGCATACTTCGCAGTATACCTTCCCCATTGCAAATCGCCGATGGGCAGTCAAAATTGCGCGTGCAACTAGAGACTGTTAAGGCGGCGGGATGAAACTGGAAAATTCAAGCCACTGATTGGTAAAGCATGCAGAAGCGTTAAACCGCTGCTCTTAAAGAGTGACCCCAATAATTTAAAACAAAAAGTTCATGGAATGTTCATATTTATAATCTACTCAACAAGCCACTTTTTTGGCTACTTATATTGCAATACTCTTTTTTTCCCTAAAATGCTGGTTACATACTTGCAAAAACGTTGAATGTCGATGTTAAAAATAATACCGTTACTCTACTTTTGCTTAAGTGCTTTACTTGAAAGTCAAGCTGTACAAAAGGCAGTGACTGTTTGTTCCATTAGTCAATTTTTCCACTGTTTTGTATGCTTCCTGCCCAGCAAAAAAACTTAACAATTACTTTGACTGATGGGATGGTATGCAAGTAATTTTACTGTCGAATGCAATTTTCCTGTCCGCATTAATTCTGTTAAAATTAGTGTGACTCCTCCAGCATTCCGCAAATCTGTAGCAAGCCAAGTCGCTGTGAGAAACAGTCGGGATAACGTACCGAATGGCCGGAAAGATACTAGCACACCCCGAATGCCGAGTCGTGGGGCACACTCAAGGGCTTCGTAGTTAAACGAAATGACAAAGCACTAGTTGATACTAATGCTTGGATAATATTTATTCTGACGCTTATTTGGTTCACCGTTAATATTTTATCAAGCGCGACCATAAATTCAAAAGGTTAGCTTAAATGCATTCCCGTTTAGTCTGCATTTGCTGTTAAAGTTTTGCACTGTTGATTTGAATTAATTTTTTGGATTAGCCCATAATTTATTGACTATTCTTATTTTAAACCAATGTTATCGCAAAACTTATTTGTTAAAACAAATTTAAATAAAACCCTAAAATGTAAAAGCAATAAAGTATAGACCGTTTTCAGGAGATTTTTTATTGAAATCATGAGCCCTAGTTTCGTTTAACTTGTCTACTTCACGGTGTAAGTATTAATAAAGCATCCAGGCTTTCATTTCGTTTATGGGGGTGAAGCTTCAAAAACATTATCTTAGTAATTATATTTCTTGCTTGCTAACAAGTAATAATCGTGCGTTCTTGGTCCCAGTAGACATGTGAGAAGATAGTTTATGTTCCCGTGGGAGGGATGACTGTTGTGGATGACTTACGGGGTTAAATAAGATCTTCAGGAGCTCGTTTTTGAAATATCTCAGATGACGGCATACCTATTTAAATCAAGCTGGACAGGCACTGTAATCCGACTCGGTAATCCAATCCATGCAGTTAAATGTAATACAAGGACCGCATCTTTGGCAATCACATCTACTGGCCTGAATACGAAAACCAGGAATGAGTCACTCTTTTAATTCACGATTTCTGATCGGTTGTCGCATTGTAATAAATGTTGAGTAGCACCAATCAACAGCCAATTTTCGGTGCCTCGGATCAAGTGGGTAGTTTTCTTGTCAAACAGTGCAGTTTCCTATCTGAATCCCAGCATGTTTACCTCGTAGCTCAGGCATTTGAAGAACAGAAATAATCGAAATTGGTAGGGTCACCGCTTACTGGTGGGAACAGTAGCCGTACCGGATTTCACGTCGGTATGTCGCCATAGCCCCAACAGCTTGAGGTACACAGAACGGTGCGCCATTTACGATCCCTTCTTAGGCTGTTATTACCTCGGACAGTTGTCGGCTAATTAAACGGCTCGAATGAATTCGGCATCATCATGTCCGCTTGGCTCGAATTTCAGAATCTCCTTCACCGTGCTGCCAGAAAAGGTTTCGAAAGGTGCGTTCTGAAATAAAAGTAAATGAAAACCTTTTAAGCTTGTAACATAAGTAATGTCTCCAACGATGCTACTGTATCGTCGGCGGCATGTGTAAATACATCCTTCTTCAACGAAATTAAGCCCTACTTTTGATCTGTTCGCTTTAAGTAATGATATACTCATAAGAGAAATGCGTGTTCCAGCCAGTAAAAGACAATTTGGAATTCGATCATGGTGAGTGTTAATGCGGTTTTATCGGAATATATATACTTTTAAAATATATTCCATTGATTCGAAATGGGCGATTCGGAAGCTGGTGTCGTGAACATCAGGATGAGGGCAAAGGACCCCTCCAACAACCTGGATGCATAATTTAAGTGATCTGAATTACCTCCGAATTCCTCAATAGTAAATCGCGAATAAACTGGTCGTCGTCGGCATTAGTCCGAAACTGCCTCATCGTTGGTCCCTTTTCACTCCTATGCTTAGAGTCCCTCGATAATGGCTCGTCTATATCATTTACCCAGGGAATATCTCACTCGTAGGTCATCGTCTGCTATTCTTCCAGTTTTAATTAACATTTAGAAATGTGTTTGTTGTCTAGCTCCTCTTTACAACTTGAATATTTTGCTCTCATTAGCCGTGCAATCTTTTTTATTGCCTGAGTTTTTAAATTTTTGTTTCTATAGCCTTCCAATTCATCTAATTTAGCACTACAAATTAGATGGTTATCTGACTAAGAATAGGAACTTGGAGATTAGTGGATCAGGTTAAAGCATGTCTTTTTTTAAAAGGGGGGGGGGACTTGAGAAACGTAAACAAGGTACGTGAAAAGTACATCATAATGTACCGCAAAGAGTATGAAAAGTACAGCGGGCAATTAGTACAAAATACATTTTAGTTCTGGCAGAGTATAGTAGAACCCCTCATTAGACCTTATTTCACAACCATACGGACCACAAAGAGAGCCGAGGCCCTCCGCTTCCTTTGCATTTCGCCCCTCCTCCATGGTGCATACAATGTTAAATATCGTCTGTTGATACTAAGGCACAGTAAATAACCGGTGATAACTGGAGGGTGGTGCTAGCAGTAGTCATGTCACACCTGTTCTCTCGAAATAGTGGTACCACGTGACAGCTGTTGGGGTGGTGTGGGCTACCATGGGGTGATGTTCGGTGGCATTGGTAGTGGTGGTGGTGGTGGGTGTCGGAAACACGATCGGGTTGGCTGCTACGTGGAGCATGCGTAAACACGCAAAAATGAGTTGCGGAGGGGTGTTAAAATCCTGCCTCTTAACCTTCGTGAAACATGCAAAGATACTCTCGATAGCTCATCTGTTTGTGTGCTTGTTTTCATTATTACTAACGCTACAAATTGGGAATGAACGCGCTGAAAAATAACACCGAGCCGATCGGGGGTGAGGGGGAATGAGATTGGAGGAAAACAATTCCATGGTGTAGGTGTAATTTGGTTACTATAGCTGTCAATTTTCGAATTAGCATGAGAATGTCTGAATGGCTGATACAGCTTAGCAGCCCCAAGAACTCCAACTCATTCATATTTTCTGGTGGAAGGACAACGAACCAAAAGACAATTGTTGACGTGTTAGATTGGACCATAATTTGAAGGTTAATCCTTTCAGGGGCTTTTGCATGAATCTACCCTCTGCACGAATTGAAACTAATTTAGGTAGTAATAAATGTGGAAATCTTTCTTTTTTTTTTTTCCATTTGACCCCAATTGTAAGTCATGGCAACATACGACAAGGAGGCTCGTTCATTTCGTCACTTTAAATTCCGCTTAGTCCGAAGCTAACCATTTTCGGCAAATTGAAACCGTGGTAATTTGTTCTAATCTAGTTTTTTTAAAGTACCATCCTCTTCACCAAATCCGTGTGATTTATGCTTTTCTTGGAGTAAAAAATACCAAATGGGTATGAAATTTTGCATATTTTGAGTGAGATACGAAGTCTTTACTAACACGATACGAAATGATCTTCGGCACTCCATTGGGTATCATAACCACAAAAACTGAACGAATGCCCAAGCCTCAGCTGGAGCCTTTGTGATTAAAGCATGACATAGCAACTAAGGCACTCAAGGCCAAGACGAGGGTTAGATGTGCCATCTAACCGTTAAAAAATGTGGAGACTACTGAGTAGTTGGCCCGTCTTGACCTCTAAGAGAACACTAATTAAAAATGACGGAGTGAGGGCGGAGGAGGGGAGAGGTGGGTACACGAATCGTAAATTCACTACACGCAGAGCGTTAAACAAAAATCTTTTCTCTGCAAATTTTCTCACTCTCATGAAGTACAGGTCACCTATTGTACTTTAAATATACTTTATTTTATAGACCGTAAGCACTAGGCCAACTTAACGTTTGGGAAAGGCATTGGATGTTGTTATTGCTGAGTCTGAACCTATCCTTTCGACAGGAATCTAAAAGCATGCAGCTGTACTTTACTTGGAAGCAGAACCTTGTGGACGCAACAGCGTTACCCAAATCACGCAGCAGGAAGAAGTCGGTCACTTAAACTAGTTGTGCCTTGTCAAAAGGTACTCTATCGCAGTTCCACTATCAGCCTTTTAGATTTCCTCTTATAAATAAAGCTTTTGGGACAAAGTGATTGATTCTCGCTTGTCATAATTATATGGTACCGGGAAGGTGATGGGAGCATTTTCAAACCCTACTGCCAATTGGATCAGTCCAGCTTGCTCGCCTCCACCTTCCGACGAGTGATGAGAGATTCTAAACTTTAAATAAGCGCAATCGAGACAAGGTGCCATCAGTGTCGAATGAATGAACCATTGATGACAAACTCGACTTGGGAGTGAAGAAAATTCTCGTGCATGAACTATTCAACGCGAGATTTTTACGAGCTAACTGAGGAAATCACGGATAAAGACGAACCGTATTCATACAAATCTTATACGAAGAGACATTCTCTTCTCCTTAATGGCTACTTTATTTTAGTCTAACTAATGAGGATTCTGCTTTAATGAAGTGATTGGCTTTGAAGCGCTTCTCTAGGTTGCCTTGTTCCTGCTAAGCACTTCAAGCGTTGCCTTCTGTGAACATAAATAATTCCTCTTCCATCAGCTTATTTTAGTTCCAGTGAACTTTAATTAACCTCGAGTGCCATTCCAAGTTTAAAATTAATTAGCTTTTAATCCGCATCATTTGAGCCCTTCTATGGGTCTGTC